AATAACTGGGAGGATAGAAGAATGGATGCATTAAAAGATGTTGAAGGGACTATTGGATGAGTGAATGAGCAAATTTGGCCAAACCACTGAGTTGCCACCAGATTTTGCACCTTGACACTGAGGCCCCTTCTGTGGCCCCTGTAGAAGATTTTGTTTTCAGGAGGCATGGACTAGAAGTTCATTATCTGACCTCATCCCTTATTCCTACAGGGAATGCTTGTTTAAATTTGTTCTTCCAACACAGAAGGATGTGGAAAATTCAGAAAGCCAATACCATGGCTGTAGGTCCAAACAGAGACCAAGGACTCAGCATTCTTCCTCCCACTGGCACCCCAGTCCCACTCAGGACACTGGCCTCAGTTTGGAGCATGCTCCCTTTGTTAGTAAGGAGAAAGGCTTGGCTCAAGACCCGTGGAGGCTGAAATGGGCACTGGCTGCAAAGATATATACTTGTAGGAAGCTCATCTGGACCACGTTATTATAACCTGGAAACAAAGCCTCACACATTAAGGGGAAGTGGCGGAACAATCTCAAATGTTCTATGCCTTTGTCTGATTGGGCTCTTGCTCAGATGCCTTTCCCTCTGTGTACCAGGTGAGCATCTATGCATCTTCTAAGATCAGACTCAAATGTCATCTCCACTATAAAGGATTTCCTGATCTTTTGATTAGAAACAACACTTTCCTGATGCAGGGATGGTTCAACATCCAAAAATCAACCAATGTGATGCACCACATTAACAAAATGAAGAATAAAAATCACATGATCATCTCAATAGATGCCGAGATAGCATTCAACCAGATACAGCATCCATTTATGATAAAACTCTGAATAAAATGGGTATAGAAGGAAAGTACCTCCACATAATAAAGGCTATATATGACAAACCCACAGCTAATATCATACTCAATGGTGAAAAACTGAAAGCTATCCCTCTAAGAACAGGAACCAGACAAGGATGCCCACTTTCACCACTCTTATTTAACATAGTATTGGCGGTCCTAGCCAGAGTACTCAGGCAATAAAAAGAAATAAAAGGGATCCAAATTGGAAAGGAAGAAGTAAATCTGCCACTATTTGCGGGTTACATGATTTTCTATATAGAAAATGCTAAAGAATTCACTAAAAATTATTAGAAATAATAAACGAATACAGTAAAGTGGCAGGGTACAAAATCGACATACAAAAATGAATTGCATTTCTATACACTAACAATGAAATAGCAGACAGATTAATTAAGAATACAATCCCATTTACAATCACAACAAAAAGAATAAAATACCTAGGAATAAATTTAACCAAAGAGGTGAAGGACCTGTACACTGAAAACTATAAAACATTGTTGAAAGAAATTGAAGAAGACACAAAGAAATGGAAAAATATTCCATGTTCTTGGATTGGAAGAATTTACATAGTTAAAAAGTCCATCCTTCCTAAAGCAATCTGTAGAGTCAATGCAATCCCTATCAAAGTCCCAATGACATTTTCCATGGAGAACAAATCCTAAAATTTATATAGAACAAAAAAGAACCCAAATAGACAAAGAAATCCTGAGAAAACAGAACAAAGCTGGAGATATCAGACTCCCTGATTTCAAAATATACTACAAAGCTATAGTAAACAAAACAGCATGGTACTGGCACAAAAACAGACATATAGATCAATGGAACATAATTGAGAACCCAGAAATAAAACCACACATCTATGGACAGCTCACTTCTGATAAAGGAACCAAGAACATACAATGGAGAAAGGAAAGTCTCTTCAATAAATGGTGTTGAGAAAACTGGACAGCCACACGCAAGAGAATAAAAGTTGATAATTTTCTTACACCATACACAAAAGTTAACTCCAAGTGGATTAAAGACTTGTATGTAAGACCTGAAACCATAAAACTCCTAGAAGAAAACATAGGCAGTACACTCTTCGACAATGGTCTTAGAAGTATCTTTTTGAATACCATGTATCCCCAGGCAAGTGAAACAAAAGAAAAAATAAACAAATGGGACTACATCAAACTAAAAACTTCTATACAGCAAAGGAAACCATCAATAAAGTGAAAAGACAACCTACCAATAGGGAGAAGATACTTGCAAATCATATATCTGATAAGGAGTTAATATCTGAAATATGTAAGAACTCATACAACTCAACAACAACAAAAGAAACAACCCAAATGAAAAATGGGGAAAGGTTGGGCCGGCTCCGTGGCTTAGCGGTTAAGTGCGCGCGCTCTGATGCTGGCGGCCCGGGTTTGGATCCCGGGCACGCCCCAAGGCACCACTTCTCCGACTAACCCGAGGCCGAGTCCCACGTACAGCAACTAGAAGGATGTGAACCTATGACATACAACTATCTACTGGGGCTTTGGG